TTTTCATTTGGTTTGTAGCAAAGCCTACAGTTTTCTATAAAAGTATTCCATACCTCGGATATTAGTGCAAATTAATCACACTGCAAATGTGAAGACCTTGTTAGTTTATTATCAAAATGAAGAAATTTCATAATTTCCAAAAACCTATCTCTACTCATAGTTTCATGAAAAAACTTTAGTCCTTAAGTCTTGGACCACAAACTAAGAATTGGTAAGCCCTTGGTAGCTATTGCCCCCCCCTTTACGTACAACAACGCTATGAATGCTTCCAGTTCTGCTAATAAAATAGTGAAAGAGTCATTATGAAGTTTACGCTTAGCTTCAGCATCAGTACACTCCTTTATGAATTGTAAAATTTTTTCATTTACACTGGTTATTAAATTAAGAAAAAATCACAAAAATAGCGATAACTCCCTCAAAAATAAGCCAAACCGTGTAAAATTTGAATATGTTGCCAAGTAAGAGTAGCTGAATAAAACTGAGATATGCAAATTAGTGGAATATGTCATCTGAAAGGAACATAAAAGTCAATGTTTGAGAGCAAGCCCACATATTTGACTGTGACAGTGACATCAGAAATCTGAGATAGCCAATTCGTAACAATGACCTCCAGGCATCATTTGCCTGCAAACTGTGATGAGAGCCATTGGAGACTAGAGGCGGACAAAGTCAACAGAAGTGGCCAGATGGCTAAATGCGAGTCCTTCCGTGGTTCATAGACTTTGGAGGCAATTTCAAACCACAGATTCGGCATCTAGGAGGTTCAGCCAAGGACAGCCAACTGCTATGACGAGCGCGGATGACCGATATTTGACATTATGTGCACGCAGGAATAGAACGGCAACTCCGACTCTTCTTAGATCCTACCTTCCTGTAGCCATCGGAAGGTTCGTGTCAACATCAACTATGTGTAGAAGGCTTCACAAAGGTGGTCTGTATGCGAGGCGATCAGCCATTTGTGTGCCGCTCACGTCACGCCATAGGAGGAACCGTTTTCATTGGGCATGACAACATGTCCACTGGATGCCTGATCAATGGAGGGCGGTTCTCTTTACAAACGAGTCCAGGTTTAGTCTAGAAAGCGATAGTAGGCGTTATTTGATATGGAGAGAATCTAGAACCCATTATCATCCGTCAAACATCCGTGAAAGAGATGCATATGGAAGGGTCTGTGTTTGGGGTGGCATTTCTTTGGTTGGACGCACAGACCTCCATCTCTTTCCAAGGGGAACCGTGAATGCTCAGATTTATACAGATGACATCCTTGATGTTTATGTTCGCCCATATGCCATAGCAATAGGTGATGCTTTCTTGTTACAAGACGACAACGCAACGCCACACAGGACTTGCATCGTAGACGATTACCTTCAACAGGAAACAATTATGCGCATGGAGTGCCCAGCTCGATCCCGAACTTGAATCCTATCGAGCACGTTTGGGATGCTTTAAGGAGAAGTCTAGCTGCTCTCAATCCGCCCCAGACCCTTGTTGTGCTTTCAACTGCTTTGCAAGAGCAATGGATCTCACTTCCTATCCTTTCACGATTTCTTCATGCGTTAGTCTTTATCTACGTGCCATTAGTATGTCACTATAATAAATTCATGTAAGTAGAATAAAATTTCCCACTAAAACTTGTTATGAATAATAAACAAAATATCTATGAAAAATCCTCAAATGTTCAGCTCGTAATATTCTCTCTTCTCTGTTTTCTTTCCACAAAGAAAAGTATTGCACATATTTCAAATCATGTGACTGGCATATGAAACCATGCAGACCTACTATATTTTTTCTTTTTTGTATTTTGTTTACAGGTGCAATAAAATAGTTTACAGAAGTAACAATGTTCAAAATACAATGGAATTTCGCATTCTTTTCTCTTAAAGGGTCAAAATGACACTGCCATATTTCTAGGTATAATCATTTGTTAGGGCTAAAATAAAATATGATTTTTTTTTTTTTTGAATCTTTACTATTTCGTAAATCACAATGAAGAAAAGATCAAGATATTTGCGAAAAAAAAGAAGAGCCGTCAGAGATAAAAGTTTGCTAGGTGCCAAAATGACCCCTTCCGTAATTCTAGAGCTAACAAATTTCAGCTTGAGACTTGGGGGGGGGGAGAATGAAAATAAAGTACAATATTGTTGCTGAAAAATTTGTTGGGCTTTTGAATGGGTGGTAGCATTACTTACCTCATCAGTTAATTCCACCAAATTTCATGAAAATTTATGGATCATAAGGTCTTGCAATTACAATTTATTTACCAATCCCAGCTCCAACATTTTTGGTGCCTAAGATGATCAATATATTTGATGCGACATCAAAATTAAGTATTTTGTTAATTCAATGCAAAAACACTTTTGCTTAGTTGTTGCTTGCAAGAACAACTTGGATAGGTCTCTCAAATAATCAGTACACAAGGCAGCTGCTTATGCTTGGAACCAGCTATGCAGTTTACTTTCAAATCTAATTTATTAAAACTGAGGAAAAAGTCTATTCCCTTTCTCTTCAAAGTCTACACTGCTCCCACTACAAAAATTTTTATGGCATACACAAAGAGATATTAAAAATGCCATTTTAACGTGAGAATTTTAAATAGATACAAAAAAAAACTACACAATTAATGCCTTTAAGCAATTTTTGAATAAAAATTTGTAATTCGAAATATTTTTAATTAAGGCTAAATTCATGAAGTTCCTATATCTATAACGTGACAAATTTGACCTATTTTAAATGCATGATTATTTCACTATGATGTTGATACTTGTGAACCTTTTAGTTTCTGTAAAAAAGGTAGATAAAGGAAACAAAACCAACATAAGAAACAAAGCGTTTGGTACTATTCGGTTTCGAGGGCCGTAAAAAATCACCAAACTATTGTTGATGCCAATGTTGCCAAAAATAATTGCGGTAATCTTAGTAATTGTGGCAAGAAAGGAAGTATAATAGTAAATAACTATCTAAGATTGATGTTTTAATTTAGATGAAAGGTTAATTTCGTATAATACTTTATTGTTACAATTTATATGAAAAAGGGCTAAACAATACTGAATGGAAGCGTAAGAGTAAACAACTATTTCAGATCATTATTATAATTTATATAAAAATTGCTAAACATAACTGAATGGATGCCTGCATCGCTATTTCGCTACCGACTTAACCGACTTATTGTTAAAGCATAATTTCATCTCGTTGATTGTTCAAACGTAATAATGAATGATGCCTTTTCTTTGAAAATATTCTCGGTAAAGTGCAGAATTGCTCACTTATTTGTTTGCCGCTTTTTACAAGGGTAAAAACAATTGGTTTTTGTCAATTTTCTTTTACTTTTTAAGTGAAAATAGGTTGATGTGTACATAGATAAAGGGTGTGCGCAGTGCCATTTTTGTGCAAATCTAGGATTTTTAAGTGAAAGTAGGTCAATGAGCACATGGATACCGAGTATGTGCAATTCTTAAAAACGCGTCAAGCAGTGGGTGATTCCGCACCTTACCCAAAATTCTTTTGCCGACTTTTCATCATGGGCATTTCCAAATTGTTAAATCCATAGATATCAAAAAAAAAAAAAAAAAAAAAAAAAAAAAAAAAAAAAAAAAAGATTTAAAATCAAAATGATTTAAAAATTAAACTAGTATTACAATGGCGTCTTAAGAAATACAGATCTATATAAACTTATGCAATCTGAAATCAACGCGTACGCTAGATTTGGCGCTCTGTTAAATGGGTGCGTTTGCTAGATTTGCCATTTTTGCTCATACATTTTCGCTGCAATTTTTTTACGGCCCTCAAAACGGAATAGTACCAAGCCCTTAAATTTTCAAATCTGTCTATCACTAAACAATAATCCTCACTTTCAACACTTACTATACTGCATTCACATATAACACATACTAAAAACTGACACTAATAAAATAGGCAATTCTAGTAATACAGGAACAGAAATGAAACAAAATTTACAGAGTATAAAAAGATTACACTTAATTCTTGCATAATTTATGCAATTAATATGACTTCAAATGGATTTTTCATTTTCTATGCCCTGGACCCGCCTAAATGCTTTAGCTACAATTAACACTGAAATAAAGCTGTATATAATATACCTCAAAAAAAAAAAAGGAATTTTCACTGTCAACAGAATACATAAAAATGATCACAAAATGCAACCACACAACAAGGATGAAAATCTTTGGAGATGCAAAATCAAAATTACAGTAAGGCAAAAAAGCATTTGGAAATTGGTTTGGCAGTCTTTGGCTGCCATTTTTGTAAACACACATTTTTTTTTGGCAGACCTGTCTGTTAAATAATGCATGAAGCGGTAATAAAACATGCAAAACAACTGTTGATAGAAAAAAATTATGTCATCCAAGGTATAAAACAAGGATGGTTTTCAGTTGATCAATTTTGGATTGTTAAAGCTAATTTTCTATCACAGCGCTTGTTGTAAAAGTCTATGTTATTTATGAAAATGCTATGTTATGTGATTAAAAGTAATTAAAACAACTAAATACAGGTGTTTATAATTTAATTAGAAGCTGAAATTAAGTGAAACCGAATATCGATTTTAACTTTTAACCAACATTTATTTAGTTACTAAAAATGTTTTGCAATTCACAAATAGTAATATTCTTAACCACCTGCGCTACGACTAAACTTCACGGTTGCGGTGCCGTGCGCTACAATATAACAAGAGGTAAAATGTCTTATTTACGCCGCTCCGCGTCTGCCAGCGCAATCCAGAGCTGTAACTCGAGAAATAAACAATCTCGTTGTTAGGCAACGTGTGCACATTATTTTCATTTTTGCTACAAATGCCTATCGACGTGGTGTTCACGTTGCTCGCGGTTTGAAACAAAAGCATCTCGGCATGCGTGGCACGTCTTTTTAGTGTAAGTGGTTAATTGTAGGAAAGCAGTAAAACAAACATTTACAGTCTTCACAAACTAACAAAGCTTACACACTTATTTTATTTCATAAATATTCAGATTAAGGCACTGATATACCTCAGCTGGCGGAACTCTGGGTTCAGGCCTAAAATTTCTGGGTACAAATACTTCTGCATAAGGAGACAACTTTGAAAATGAGACAGGTTTCCTTTCACTAGAATTTGAATCTGGAGTTACACTGTGATTTTGAGGACGTGCATGATCTCCAGATGGTGAAGCCATATAAGAAAAATCTAAAAATTGGAGATAAAAACAATTTAAAGAAATACGTTCATACAATTTAACTGTTTCAAACTTATGGCACACAGTAATTTAAAGCACATAATTTCATCACTACGTAATGAACACAAGAAAAAATTATTCAGAGAAAAATTTATAGATACAATATAAAAAAGGGCAGGGAAAAGTGGACAAAGCACAATAGCTTCATCTACAGATTTACCGCATTCACTACTGTTTTAGCACATCTATCACAGGACATACTGCATCCCTCCTACAGAACCAGCTCAGCAAGGAATCTGCCACACAGTGTACTCACCTTTTTCCTACTGAGCAGCCTTTCCATATTGTATTCTGACATGCATTCAAGTCTTCGTCTTACATTCTGCATTCCTTTACATACAATTCTAATTATTTTATTTTGAAATACCAATTGATATTATGGTACTGCCTTGGTGAGCATCAATACTTTGTTGTTCATAGGTACTTATTTTATTTGTTTTATACAGGATCCTGTAGGATGCATATATAAATATTTAATTTCATTAGTTTTGGCATATTTCTGTTATGTCATATGCCATGAGCTGCATCATAATTTTTGAGATTTTTTGTCTTAATTGCTTCACACTCAGGATATATCTGATATCTTTTGGTGAGACTGACTGCCTGGTTTTGCAATAATTTACTTTTGTGATTTGACAGCTAAATACATAATGCTTGGGGTCGCCCCTTCCCCACATATATCTATTTCGCTTAAGATTTTGAGAAAAACAGTATGTGGAAAAAGAACATTATAAATAGATTAAGAAATTATATGAACTGTGGTCATACAAAGGGCTCTTATACATTTTATTCACTCTTCTTCCTTCTTGTGCTTAATTCCATTCATACTGTGTTGTGACTTATCTCACTTGCCTGTCAGTAACATCAGAACAAGCCCACGAAATTCATTCTTCAGATTTTCATCCACAGAAAAAGTTGAAACAGTTTGCTCACTGCTCTGTAGGTTGTTTGTATCATGTGTACAGTTTAATTCTGTTATTTTTAGCAGTAGGCACATTCTTATTTTTCTCTATTTCTTGAAAACCAGTACCGATTTTTGCATCAGAGTTGTTGTTCTTTACAAGCAGAAGTATACTGATTTAGAATCGAGTTTGCATATGTAGTATTATGAGACATACACTTAGTGAGCGATGTTATCATAAAGTGAAAGTGGGAGGAGGTCATGATATGCCACCCCAGACCAACTAATCCAAAAATATTAACAGATCGTGACCGTCAAAGCTTGAAACGTGTGGTGAAGTCAAGTAGGAAGGCGTCACTACAGATGGTGGCACAGGAGTTTTGATCGCCTTCCAGTGATGTTGCAAGTGATTGTACTGTTCGCTGGGAGATCATCGCACATGGTTTCCATGGCCATGCAGCAGTTCACAAGCCGCTTATCACAGCCCGCAATGCGTGCCATCATTTACAGTGGTGCAAGGAATGCCGCCATTGGACTCTTGAGCAATGGAAATCTGTCCTATGGAGTGATGAATCGTGCTACCAACTGTGGCGCTCTGATGGACGTGTTGGGGTGTGGCATATGCCAAGAGAAAGACGTTTACAAGAGTGTATCATACTCACAGTGAAATTTGGCGGAAGTGGCATCATGGCATGGTCTTGGTCCTCTTGTCTTAGTGCTGGGAAAAATGAATGCCGATGCATACCAAACAGTTCAGGACAATCATGCACTACCAACATTGTAGGCACAATTCGGTATTGGTCCACATCTGTTTCAGCAACACAATGCTCCATGTCGTACTGCAAATGTTATAAACACGTGGCGTGCAAAAACTTGAATGGCCAATCCAATGTCCTGACATCAGCCCTATTGATATGTTTGGGACGAGTTGGAGCGCCACTTGAGAACCAGGCCATGTCACCCAAAAAATACTAGAGAGTTGTTCGTCGCTTTGTAACAGGAATGGAGCAAGATTCCCATCGAAAGTTGGTGGAAAGTCTTCCTCAAAGGGTTGCAGACGTAAATGCGGCAAAAGGTGGTCCCACACGATACTGATGGACTGCTGAAACCGAATTAGCATACTGGTTAGGGGTGTCCGGTGACGAATGGCCACATCGTGTAGCTTTTGGCCTACCTTTGAGAACATTCTGGGACAAGCCAGTAAGAATTTGTTCTAAAATGTTCTCCATCCATCAATGACATATTGGCAAATGGGCGATTTTGTGCCAAGGCAACCCTGCTTTACCTTGCCACTTTCTGGCAACACTAAACCTGCCTTCTGGGGAAGCTATCTTACCGCGGCTGGCTAACAATATGAAACAAATGCAGATAGAATAGTTGTTTGCAAAAAAATAGCAGCAAAAATACAATTATAAAAAATTTTAAATGAATTTAAAAATAGATTAAATAACCAAGTATGAATTTTTAGCTAAAAGGAACATTAGCTAAAAAGCTATTAATTTCATTTTAGCATTTTGCATCGGTTGACTATAAACGGCAAATCACTTCTGAAATTTTTCCCACCAAATATTATCGCCCTGTATTATATTTGAAGAAATTAAATAATGAAGAATCTGCATAAACGTTTGTATGTTTCTTGCATTGTGATAAAACAAGGGTATCCAGAGCCATCAAATTCTGAATAACGTACAGCTTCACCCGAATAAGGGCATCTGGAAGCCCAAATTTTAAATTTGTTTTATTATCTATTTCATAGTTTGTAAAGCATTTACGAGTTTTGATTAAGAAACTCAATAATTTCAAAGCGAGCAATGGCAACACTATGGGGCACTGTCACTACTGTACAACTGTACGGGGGAAAAAAATTTTATCTCCAGTGTGAGAGCCTGTCTATCAGAAAAGATATACTCATTTTAAAATTATTTTGCAATATTGCTGTTGAACAGAATTTTATGGTTTAAGTGCAAAGAACATGATATTTAACAAAGGTAACACTCCAAATGTTAAAAAAAAAAAAAAAAAAAAAAAAAAAAAAAAAAGCATCTTTGGGCATAATGTAAAATCTGAAAGCTTTTTTTTTTTTTTTTTTTTTAATTTTTGAAATTTTACTTGTTAGTTTGAGCAGTTAATTCTATTGCCGTTTGAATGTTCTTATGTTACGTGTTTGAATGTTCGCATGCTTGGTACAACTATTTTTTTAAGGTGGCTGTAAATTCTACAAGTATTTAGGAAAAGAAGGTTTTGAACATTTATTTGTGAAACAAAGTATCAATTTTGTTGATAGTCTGGCTGTCATATAAATACGATAGAGATTATGTGGCGGCATGTTAAAGAAACGTTGCCAGCTTATAATCAGAAATGCAATTTGGAGTTTTATTTGGTGGTTTATATATTTTTCCATTGTTGTTCTGAAACAGAAGATGCTTTTAACAAATTTGTAATAAATTGTTTTGATGATGTTTGAAATTGGTATTTCTGCTGTTCGAAGAAGCATTTATTTATGGCTAATGCATTTTGTTTTATTCTTGTTTTAATTTAGTAGAATGTTATGTTCATTGTTTTTTTAGTATGAATTTCTATCGTTATTGTTGCTTTTTTTGAAATATTTGAAAATTTTAGTTATTTTAGTTTATTAGTGCGCAATTACCAAAATGTCGCCAAACTGCCCGTTACCATATTCCAAAGATTAGCCCACTTTTGTTCCATAAAAGTTCTAGCATAAGCATAATTCGGCTAGCAGATTGTTGGGAAAAAAATGTTAAGTTAAAAAAAACGGCTGATCTTTAGAATATGGTAACTGGTAGTTTGGCGACATTTTGGAGGCGATAAAGGTTACTACCTGGGACTTTGATAAAAGTGAGCATACTCAGTTCTGATTACGCATTATTTTGTGTGAGGGGAAATGAGAGATCATGAGATATGGCATGTGACATTAATGGACAAATAAATTACAGTTCTTTAATCGGAAAAGGGGATAAATTTGGAAAAACATCTGTGCAGTACTATAGCTGCAGTATTAAGCTTCATTGTGTGTTGTGCGAGTGTTGATTAATTTTTGGATCGCATGGCGCTATCTAAAGTGAATTCTAGATGTATAAAGAGAATTTTGCTTTTTTATTTAGCAGAGGAAGTGTGAGGAAAAATTCGGAGAAAAATCGTTTAATATTTTATTGAATCCATAAAAAAGTGTATCCACCATGTAAGCAAGATTCTGAGAAGATTAGGTAAGTTAGTATTTTTATTATTTGAGGTTTTATTTTATGCATTGTTCTAAATGTAAGGTGGAAGTAAAGTAATTGGTATTATTGGGAAAATGTTATTAGCATGATTTAAAGTAATAGGATTGTAAGCTAATTTTATTAATTTAATGATGTGCTTATTTATATTTTAAGTAGTGTTTTACAATTTATATATTTTAATTTAATGATCGTGATTTTGAGAGTTATATGTTTGTAGTATTTGGAATACGTTTGAGTAGAAGTAATGTGCATGGAAAAATTTCAGTATTTGGAACCATTTTTAATGTTTTGTTATAATTCGTTGGTGACGTATAATAGATAATTTAGAGGTAAAAGTTTTTGGATATTTTATTTATTTTATCCGTGCAAATGTTCATCTTTGGAAAGGTAATACTTTTTCGCGATCAGTAATTCATATATATCCCTTTTACCGAATTTAAAGATTCACAAAATTATCATGCATTTTCGTGAAATTTTTCTAATTTATGAGAAAAAAGCAGTGTACATGGATATAGTGAAGAGTGTGCGCAATGCCATTTTTGTGTAATTCTGGGATTTTTTTTAAGTAATTCTGGGATGTTTTTTTAAGTAAGTCAACGTGTACATGGTTTATGTGTATGTGTCATGATTAAGCAGTTTTGTTTGATAAAATTTCTAGCATAAGTGTAATTCGGCTAGTAGATTGTTGGAAGAAGTGTTCAGTAGATAAAAAGAAAAGAAACATGTCTTTACCTCGTGAAGACAAAATGGCAGCAGGGAAAAAATAGAGGGTTGCTGTAGGAGAGTTGGTCACCAAATTTTCGCCAAGTTACCATAATCTAAAGATCAACCAAAAAAACATGCCTTTACTTCGTGAAAACAAAATGGCGTCCAAAACAAAACTAGCAGGTTGCTGTAGCAGGGTTGGTCGCCAAAAAATCACCAAGTTACCATAATCCAAAGATTAACCCAAAAATCTTTGAAAATACTGAAGCTGTATGAAACAGAAGTATGAGAGACTGCGACACTGTTTACCATTTAAATAAATTGTAGAATTCACTTACTGAATTACTTTACTGTTTTAATAACGGTAGAATTCACTTCACACTACATAAACAACTTAGTTCCGCCTTCACAACGTTGTTTATGCAGTGTGTTCTTGATTTTTACCATCGTTTCTCAAAAGAAAAAAAAAAAAAGAAGAAAAAAAAAGCTTTTTTTTTAAATATTTGTTCTTTGTTTACCTTACTTTTGGTCTCACTCAGCAAAAAGACACTGAAGGTTTAAAAACTGACTTGTTGTGGATGCTATGCCGAGTCAATATACGGGATAATTTAATAATTTAAATGATAATTCCAGAATGAATTAAGCACGATTTGATTTGCAATAGTGAAAGAAGATGTTACTTTGTTGTTGCGAAGCTTAGTTTCTCTAGATTGGCAACAAATCCACTATTCTGCTAAGTGTTCAAACGTAAACAAATATGGTTGCTACGATCAATCATTTTTAAAAAACAAAATTGTGCCAAATTGGCGTTTTTCAAAAATCGCCAAGCAGTGGGCTAAGGCACATTTCCACATTGTGGGCTAAGGTCATATTTTCCAACACCACCGAATGTTTACTTTAATGGACATAACAGTACAATTGAAAATGTGGTAAAATTCTAGGAGAGCCCCCACCCTGGACGACAAACAGGGAAAGCGCACACAGCTTCACGTGTTTCTCAAAATCGCCAATTTGAAAACAACAAGTCAAAGAATTGCACAAACTCAATATCCATGTACACATTGACCTATTTTCACTTGAAAAAAATCAACAGAGAATTGCACAAACTTGGCATTGCACACTACCTTGACTTTGTCCGCATATGCATAGATACGTGCCATAACCAAAATCATTCTTACCAAGTGTGTGGGCTCTGCTAGGATTCAACCAAAAATGTTTACCTCTCAAATGATCATTCCACGATGTCTCAATGCATTTGTGCAACCCATCGCATGTCGACAACCAAGTGTATGCTTAAGTTTTACTCTTAGTACAGGATTTAGGCTGTTTAATTACTTCAACACATGTAAGCTCAAATACATAAATACCTTAAATGCACACAAAAATGCTATTACTTCAACACATTGTAAGCTCAAATACATAAATACCTTAAATGCACACAAAAATGCTATTTTGCAAAAGGTAGCCCTTTCCCAGCTGTATACAGCAAAATACCTTTCAATACGCATCATCACCATACTTCTCAGACTAATGCAATTTAAGATAGCAACTTGTTTGAAGAAGTTAAAAGTTATTTAGGACATAATTTAGAAATTCACAACAGCTTTAAAATATTTTTTTTAATAACGTCTCTGTTTAAAGTCAATGCTGAAATATATATACAGTGTGGTCTAATCTCTGCGCCTCATTTACAATATGGGAAAAGTGCAGAATCATAGTCACTCCAAAATAATAAACACAAGTATAAAAGTTCTGAAATGCAGTGCAAACGACTTTGCTAAGGCAAGCAAATTAATGAAGCTTTTGTACCAATGGGTAGGTAATGAAATTGACAAGACTAACTCACAGACACTTGCGGCCATAAACTTCCAGTTTCCGAAAATAATATGCACTGTTTACATTATGAGCAGTTAACAAATAATGCAACAGAGTTCAGAATTTTACAATTAACACCCATTAATAAATTAGTTCAACATATTTCATATATTCGCAAACATTAAACATACTTCACGGAATAACTAAAATGCATTAAGATTACAAGTTAGTTCCTTTATTTAAATACAGTTTAAATAGAACACTAAGCCTACTGAAACAATCAAATAGCGCATACACTTTTTATTATCTCAACAATAATAGAATGTTCACTTTAATGGAAGCAACAGTACAAATGAAAATGTTTACCTCTCGAAGGATCATGCCATGATGTCTCGGCGAATAATCCATTTGGATTGCTGCCTTCTGTTGGTACAAAATCTTGGCTTGCATACGTGTTATATGCTAAAGGCCGCCGAAGTGCTCCAGTATCAGTAGGTCGCCCTCGTCCATAGCCAACAGGCGTACCTTCATTTTGCTCCATTTGCAAGGAATTTGTAAAATTACTAAACCTGAACTAACGATACAAATTCTAGAATCTTTACGTCTAACAGAGTCTGCATTTAACAATTGTGTTGCCAATTGTCAACGTAGGAAACTATATAACGTAATCACTTCGCTTCACATCTAATCGGAAATTTTGAATATATTAGAGATAAAATTAATTAGCCAGAAAAAGTAATTTAATAATCGTAATAGGTTAATATTTGATATATTTCTGATCTTCGTGAAAAGAATATTTGTTCACATTGTTAATCTATTGATCGAAATATGTCAATTAATGGCTAATCTTAGACAAATGATAGATAATTTTCAGTTGCACTGTGCGCCAGAATTCAAAATAAAAAACAGTATGTATTTTAGAATAATTACGAAAATAAAAGACTTGTTAATTAACATATTTGTCAAGCATCAAAGCCGTGGATTCCAACGATAAGTTAAATCTTGCATATACACTAGAATATTTTCTAGACATTAAAACTTTTCTATTCTATATAGCAGCGTTTCTCAAAGTGTGGGTCGCAGAAAAATTCAGCTGGGTCGTGGCAAAAATTGTAAAAACACAAAAATCTATAAAATTTTGTTCTATATTTAATATTTTTCGAAACTTTATCAAGTACTAAAAGGTATAACCCTTTACCACTATTTCCTACCGGATCGTTTAAATTCGGATGCTCTGATTGGCTGATTTCGATTCGTCATTCAGTGCCTTCTCCGGTATGCGTAATGGCAGACCGCACATTGAGTTGAACAGTGTTAAACGAATGTCGCATACTGCGCATGCCCAGAAAACAATTTGGCGTAATTACTATGTTGGTGCGATTTGAAAAGAAGATAAATATGGTAGATGTACCGCCATCTGATTGTAAACAAATCTGGCGTTTAAATCTTCGTAGAGTATAATGTAAATGTAAATTAATTACTGTGTTAAAATACTATTTTTTGCTGTATTGCTCAAACAACTAGAAAACTGAAAATTATTGCGAAGTAATGTGAAGCAGTGTTTGCATTCAAAATGTGAAATGTAATACCTATGAAATTCTGCACATTTCTTTGGAACTGTGCAAATTTTCGTTCAGAAAAAGACTGAAATTTAGGATATATTTAGTTAAAAATTTATTTCATTATACTTTTAAGCAATAAAAGACAATTCAGGATTTAACCATACGTTCCATTCGTACGTACATACATACATAAAGAAACACTGAGGAATGTAGCAAGTGCTTGTAAATAACACTGAAGAAAGTTTTACAATTCCTTAATTGCTGTTTATTAATTTTTGAAATGATAACATAAAAGCGCGAATATACGCTAACAAAACTAAGCGAGATACTCCAGTTTACAATTACTGAATTATAACATGTAAACAAATTACATTTAAATAACGAATTATTACGAACATATGTTAAACAATATTAAATGCACTATTATTGACAAATTACAATGAAATATATATTAGAAAAATAAGCAAGTGCAATCGGTATGGACGTTAAAATAACTAATAAGCAAAGTTCCACAACATTACAATTGTAAACATCACTCGAACACACTCGACAGCCATGGTGATCACGAATAAGCTAGCGTGGGGTTGCTTAGTCGCCAATATTTCTCCCCGCGCCAAAGGTACACCATCAAGCATGCGCACTAAGCGAAATTTGCTTAACATTGTTCAACTCAATGTGCGGTCTGCCATTACGCCTCCGGTATATGCTCCGTCAACTCACGCATATCAAAAGAAGGTTATGTTTAATTCATTCCTCTTAAAAAATTGTCTGAGAAAAGCTAAGAGGATTTTTGTGTAGAAAATTTAGACATGAAATAAGTCAAATGAGATCAAATCAGTTGTTAAATGAACAATTAATCATATAATACTGGTTATTAACAATTTTGTATGCCTGTTTATTTTTTTATGAAAATACTTGGCATTTTCAGGACACAAAAAATATTTCGAAGAAGTTTGAAAAATTAGTACAAACACATTAATAAATTAAATTGCTATTAATAATGGGATGGAATTTAAGACAGAATTAGAAATAATTTAATGTAAGAGATTTTAGATTTAAAAATTTGCATACACAAATGATTTATCAGATTTTATAAGGTTTTATTTCATAAATAACTTTGATTTTGAAATATGGCATTTGTAAAATTAGAACCTGATGAAAACGGATGTTAAATTATCTTCAGTAATTTCTTATAATAATAAATATTTGTGGCTAAAGTAAAATTTGAAAAAAAAAAATTGTACTTATTTTTAAAATACCTCTTGGTTGAAACTAAATAACGTTTGCATAATCCGAGTTCAGAAAACAAAACATTTATTTTACATATTTTAAAGAAATAACGTTCTGAAACAACATGTTTCATCTACACAATCAATCGACGCTCTCACCAGAGCATTACGCCATCAAACTTGGCACACATCCAAAAGTTCAAATTGAAGAATTACAGAAGCGTTGTTGCCACACAAGAAAAGACATATAGTTACAACTTCACACAATAATAAAACAAAAAAAACACACTTTTGAAAAATAGACAATAATAATAAAAAATAGTAATAATAAAATTCTTAACAATATTTTCTCGATTATGCAACATCCTCCCCCCTTTTTGAGTCAGTGGCAAACGACTCAAAAACATATGTTATCCTATTAAAAAGGTCTAGTACATTAGGCTTCTTAACAAGCCGTCCTGACGATGTAAATTTCTGTTTTATATGCTGTACGTCAGTCTGGTCGTTTTTTTTTATCGTCGTTAACGTTAGGCTCTTCAACTAAATAATTTTCATCTAGTTGTATCTCTAGTGGATAAATACGCTGAACGGGCCTTAAGAAAATCCCATTCTGAGTTTTTAGTTTAACTGTTCGAACTTTGCCATCCCGACCAGGAATTTTCTCTATAATTTTACCCAAGGGCCAATACAAGCGTTTTTTGAAATCATCGCCTATTAAGACTATCTCCCCAATTTTAGGCAACCGGGTTACTTTATTTTGTGGTTGTTTCATTATTAATTGCCCCAAATATTCTTTTCGGAAACGGTTCCTTAAATCTTTAAGAAGTTTTGTGCGGTATTTAATTCTTCTCAAAAAATGCTGAGAGTCAGAGTCAATTTATCTATATCTGCTACATTCGAAGTACAATTTTCAATTAAAAACATTGACGGAGTTAAAGGGATAGCATCTTCAGAGTTCTCCGAAATATATGTTAAAGGTCGAGAATTAATTACCGACTCACAATCGCAAATTAAGGTTTCCAGTTCTTCATAAGATAAAACCGATTTTCCCAAAGAACGTCTTAAAAGTTCTTTAACCATGCGAACTAGCCGTTCCCACCAACCTCCCCACCAGGAGGCTGTTGGTGGATTGAATTTCCATACTATTCTCTTTATTTTTGCCTCATTCTCTATTATGTCCCAGTTAAGTTTAGACATTTCGTTATACGTTCCTCGGAAGTTAGTCCCATTGTCAGAATAAATGGTTCGTGGTCTGCCACGTCTGGCTATGAATCGTCTTAAAGCCAAAAGAAAAGATTCTGTTGATAACGAAGTCACCAGTTCTAGATGGATTGCCCTGTACACAGCGCATGTGAAGAGTGCCATCCAAACCTTCTTACCGTCTTTCAAAAACAATGGGCCAGCTAAATCTACTCCCAAAATTTCAAAAGCCCTATAATCTCCTACGCGATCTTCAGGAAGAGGAGTCACTTCGCAAGACATCGGTTTCGCTTTATATCGTTGACATATTACACACCCTTTTAACACATTACGCACAGTTTTACGTTGTTTTAGTATCCAGTATCCAGAATCTTTCTCTTAAAATAGATTGAAGCATTTGAGTTCCAGCATGACAATGTTTCTTATGAACTGACTCAATTAACAATGTAGTAAAGATACATTTACTCGGTAACAAAATTGGTGTTAAAAATTCAGAATTGTCTTTGCGTTCCAATATTCTAGTTTTAACTCTTATAATTTTTTCATTATCAATGAATACATCAAGTGGATTAAGAGCTCCAATGTCAGGGAAATTTGAGCTTTGAACCAACCGAATCAAAACTTTTTCGGAATTTATGATTTCAGCAACAGTTAGTTTAGATTCTTTACACAAATTTGACTTCTTCCTACAGTTAGAAATAAAACGTAACACCCAACCGGTTACACGAATCATTTTTTCATAATCAGAAACTCTTTCTGCATACCAAGGAGTGGTATCCTCTGAAAAGTTAACATTAATAAGTTTTACCTTCCTCTTTTCCAAGTCAGCTTCGCTCGGCTGACAAACAATATTGGTAGGCCAAAATTCAGGGCTTTCTCTTAGCCAGAGAGGTCCCTTAAACCACTCCGAGTTAATCATTTGTTTAGCAGAGCAACCTCGAGATAACACATCTGCTGGGTTCATATTACCAGGCACATGCCTCCATGATTCAGGTTTTGTCAACTTAGTAATTTCTTTAACACGATTGCTTACAAAGTTTGACCAATTACCAGGATTTCTGATCCACCATAATGCGACTGTGGAATCACACCAAAGTTACATTTATATCAAAATCATTAAGAGCTTTACAAACAGAATATAATAATCGGGATCCAATGCAACAGGACATTAATTCCAATCTAGGAATCGTCAAATTCTTAATAGGAGCTACTCTAGATTTTGCTCTTAAGAGAGTAATTTTTACACTGCATGAATCAACACTTCTCGCGAAAATACATCCTGCATAAGCATATTTGCAGGCATCGACAAATACATGCAATTCAACTGTTGCAAAGGTTCCAATGAATCGGGGTATTGCCACATTTTTCAACAAAAGTATATCAGATAACCACACAAAAAATTTACTTACAAAATCATGAGGCAATACCTCGTCCCAAGAAAATTTCAACTTCCATGTTTCTTGTAACAAAAGTTTTGGAAGCAAAGTTATTGGTGCAAGTATTCCAATTGGATCAAAAATTGATTGTACAATAGACAGAATCAGTCTCTTAGTTACCTTAGTATCACAAGTTATCATATTTACATTTATATTACACCTTAAAGTATCATTGTCTAAATTCCACAATATTCCTAAAAGAGGTGTGTCCCCAGAA